CTCTCTCTCTCTCTCAATCAGACTTTCCATAGACTTCTATTATTGTACTGACCAAATTATATTTTCTATCCCCTAACCCTAAACCTACCCCTTACAGAAAAAATGTTTGCATTCTTACACTTTCAGATAAACATAATTTACTATTTTTAATAATTTTTTTCCCTGGTGGGGACCACAGGCCAGTCCCCACAATGTCAAAAATTCAGGTTTTACTATCTTTGTGGAGACATTTGGTCACACACACACACACAGACGCGCACACACACACACACACACACACACACAGCTGTTCAGATGTCCTCACGAGTCACTGTAACATGCTTCATTGTAGTTAAATACTGTTACATATTTGGCAGCGTCTGTGTCTTTCTGTTATCATGTGATTTATTAAATGGTGTGTTTTGTTCTGAAGGCCGGATCGTGAAGAAGCCACTGTGATGCCGCTGATATCAGCAGGATTTAACAGGGTGAGTGTGTGTGTGTGTGTGTGTGTGTGTGTTTAACTGTCCTTAGAAGTGAGTTAAGTGTGACAAACACTGAGAACACGGTGTGTGTGTGTGTATACACAAGTGTTTGCGTATTATAAGTACTTTCAGGTTTTCACACATTAGCATCAATGCATCAGCGCCTGATATCGCGTAGCTGGAAGCGCCTGTGTTCATGTGCGTGTCTTAAAGGGGTCATATGATGCTTCTAAAAAGAACATTATTTTGTGTATTTGGTGTAATGAAATGTTTATGCGGTATAAGGTTCAAAAAACACATTATTTTCCATATACTGTACATTATTGTTTCTCCTCTATGCCCCGCCTTTCTGAAACACGTCGATTTTTACAAAGCTCATCGGTCTGAAAAGCGAGGTGTGCTGTGATTGGCCAGCTATCCAGTGCGTTGTGATTGGCCGAATACCTCAAGCGTGTGACGGAAATGTTACGCCCCTCACCATACTGTGATGCCGTGTCTGGCCGGAGCGACGAGACAAAAACATTAAAACCCATTATAAACCAGGCATTTGTTGCATCCAGTGGGGACATAATTACTGATTATAATGACTTATACTTTCTTTTTATGCGTTACGTTGCATATCGCGCCACGTAAACATAAAACCATGTCTGCATTTGTGATTGGAGAAATGACAAACAACAAGCGCTGCTCTACACTGCCCAAAACTCGCGTTTGAATCATCAGTGGCAAATCCTTTAAATATAAAAAAATGTACTTGCAGTCTGAGAGTCAGAAGCGCCAGACTGTCCTTGCAAAGTTGGAACTGCCCCACTTTATAGAAGCAGCCTTTGAGCACAGACCCATTGTAAGCTATGCAGAACTACAGGTTCAGGAAACAGTCCTCCATAAAATGCATCACACAGCGGGCTAGAGTGAGGAACGGCCGGAGGGCTAGAGTGAGCAGAGGCGGCGGGCTTGAGAACGGCACGGCCGGCAGATTCGACGAAGGAGGCAACCACATGTGACGACCTCGACCGGGACTCCGCTTCGTCCACGGTGAAAGCCGATCCGGCGATCCACAGCGTAAAGTTGATGTATTTCCATAGAGACCAGCACACAGCGCCTTCACGACATGGCGGCGGCAGCAACAATACTACAGCGAGAATAAAAGTTATGCCTTCTTTCTTTGCGTGAACATTTAAGCGGCGTTATGCAAATCTTCCCACATAGTGATGTAGACATGTGGGGGTGTGTTAGAACGAGCCGTTTTAGGTAGGTGTGGCTGACTCTTAACTTTTATAAAGAATATCTCTTTGGATTTGAGACTTTAGTCTTTGCAACTTTACAGATCTTCTTTATGCACCAAGAGCTTGTAACACTCCAAAGAGAAAGGAAACATTGAAATGACGCTCTAGTGTCTCTGCGCTTCATTCAAGATCATTATGAATCGAGGGTGTTTGTGTGTTTGTCGTCACAGCGATATGTGGAGAACTCCAACATGATGGCCTGTTATAACGAACTCATCCAGCTCCATCACGGAGAAATACGAGCTCAGATCAAACTCAGGTGAGACGCTCGTCTCTTCAGGACACTTGCACGTGTTTGCTTTTGTTTAAGGGCCTTTTTGTCTTCATCATATGGACAGTCTCTCTGATGATACACTGTGTGTGTGTGTGTGTGTGTGTGTGT